GTGGCAGCACTACACTCAGTAGTAAGTGACAGGGTACGTCTATGCCTTGCTCGTGTACGAAGATAGGGACAACCATCTGCATCCCCCTGAATGCCCAGATAACTTTGCATCAAGTGGAAAAGTTGTTGGGAGCTTGTATTTCCACTCCTTGAAAAGGGTTATCATCTCTTTGTTGATCATTTCTACACCAGCTTGCCCCTTTTCCGCAATCTTTACTGAAGCAAAACACGCGGTACCGTGAACACAGAATTATCACAGAATTATCTATTTGGCTTTGGCTGATTACAGTGCAATAGAACTAAATTTAACCACTTGCCAACCAGGTAATAGCCATATGATGGTTACACCGTGGACGGCAAGTCCTGGGAGGGCGTCATGTGATGTCCTGTCATGATTGCGCTTCCCACACACACCTGATAGCGCGCATCAGAAGCTGTAAGTGATGGCTGTGTCCCTTAGACACAGCACATCATGAATATGGGTAAAGGGCCAATCACAGTGGCCCTTTACCACGTGATCACTCTGTCCAATGATGAGCAATCAAAAATGTAAACACAGAGGGGTCATGCCTGGGTCTTCGCTCTCCTTTCCTCACACCGATACAGAGTGTGAGGAAAGCAGAGAGAATTGGTTGCAGCAGAGTGTGTTTTAGTTAAAAGTGCTCATCAGTGCCCTATCTGTGCTCATCAGTGCTCCCCAGTGAGTGCCCATCTGTGCATATCAGTGCCCATCTGTGCTTATCAGTGCCTATCTGTGCTTATCAGTGCTCACCAGTGCCCATCTGTGCTCCTTGCTTTTTTAAAATTAAAGTTTTACCGATGACTTACTAAATTCAATTTTGAACCAGTGCAACCTCTATGCCCAACAATTCATAGGCAACAACCCAGATTCAAGTTATGCCTGTCCCTGTGAATGGAAGCAGTTAACAGTTGAGGAATTTAGAAACTTTTTGGGCCTCACATTTAATATGAAGCTCACAAAAAAATGAATCCCCAGCAAAAGGGTCGGATATGGGGTTAAACTCTACAAATTATGCGACAGAGCCACAGGGTATGTCTATCCCTTGCTCATGTACGAAGGAAGGGACAACCATCTGCATCCCCCTGAATGCCCAGATTACATTGGATCAAGTGGAAAAGTTGTCGGGAGCTTGTATTTCTAGGTTGATAATTTCTACACCAGCTTGCCCCTTTTCCACAATCTTTACCGAAGGAAAACACTAGAATGTGGTATTGTGACAGCTAGTAGGAAGGGCTTCACGCAAAGGCAGGAAAACACAAGACTACAAGACAAAAATTGGCAGTTGACTAGTGCAGAGCCGCCTGGAAATTGGTTAATTAAATCCTACGTGGAGTAATATATCACTACAAAGGTGAATGTGATTGTATATTTATTTGATCACTTAGATCATGAAAAAGGTTGACACTGACAGGGTGAACATATTGTAATCATGTTAAAATCAAAGAGTTAAAATAAAAAAACGTTCGGCGTCTTCAAAAATGACTGTATGGGCAGAAATGATCAATATGAGGCAGTAAGGTTCTCCTTCTGTATACATCTGTTGAAGAGTTCCATATTGTATAGCCTAGCAAATTTGTTTTCTCCTTTGGCTGTCCCCTTATGGATATCACAGTGAAAATGGATGAAATCCTAGGAATTAGATAATGGATTATGATGAATACACAGGAAACAAAGGCTAATCATCTGGACATAAACCTAGCAGGATGCACATTTCGTATTAACCAGGTAGTAATTATACCTCTTTTTACCTTAACAATTAGAGATGAGCGAAGTATTCAAAAAATTCGATTCGACTGATTCGGCGAATTCGTGGAAAAATTTTGATTCGAGTCGAATATATTCGCTGTGAATTTAACTTAAAAAAGGGTGTTTCTAGGCTTCAGAGAGACTTAACATTAGTGCAGAACACTGTACCTTTAATTTAAATGCCCTTGGAGTCTGCTGGGGAAGAGAAATAATACTGTCAGTCAGTATGACATGCAGATGAGTGCCGTCGATCTTAGAATCACCGCACACTTCACTCATTTGGGCAGTCACGGGGCCAAAACCAGAGTGTGGAGCCACAGTGTGGCGGTGGAGGCAGCAGCAATGGGAGGCCATACAGCACCCTATGACAAAAATGGAAACCACCAGCAGTGTGAGGAGACCTGAAAGTGGCACATGGCAGAGTGTGGCGATAGAGACAGCAGCAATGGGAGGCCGTACAGGGACCCATGACACACTCTGGACCTGGCAGCAGCATGAGGAGGCGGTACAGGGGCCCATGACAGATTACGGGCCTGGCAGCAGCATGAGGAGTCGGTACGGGGGCCCCATGGCAGATTACGGGCCTGGCAGCAGCAATGGGAGGCCGTACAGGGACCCATGACACACTCTGGACCTGGCATCAGCATGGGGAGGCGGTACAGGGGCCCATGACAGATTACGGGCCTGGCAGCAGCATGAGGAGTCGGTACGGGGCCCATGACACACTCTGGACCTGGCAGCAGCATGAGGAGGTGGTACAGGGGCGCATGACAGATTACGAGCCTGGCAGCAGCAACTTGGACAGGAGGACGTTCAGCTTCTGCACCGTCGGGTGCGTGCTCGCAAACTGTTGTCTCTTGGAAACGGATTCCAAGAAAGACTGCTGACGGAATCCGTGAAGAGGAGTAGCAGGAGAAGGAGCATCTGAACGAGCGGAATATGCCAACAAGCGACAACAGGGGCCCATGACAGATTACGGGCCTGGCAGCAGCATGAGGAGTCGGTACGGGGGCCCATGGCAGATTAGGGGCCTGGCAGAAGCTATGGGAGGCCCGTAATCTGCCAGCACCCTATGACAAAAAATGGAACCCACCAGCAGTGTGAGGAGACCTGAAAGTGGCACATGGCAGAGTGTGGCGATGGAGACAGCAGCAATGGGAGGCCGTACAGAGACCCATGAGAGACTCTGGACCTGGCAGCAGCATGAGGAGGCGGTATAGGGGCCCATGGCAGATTAGGGGCCTGGCAGCAGCTATGGGAGGCCCGTAATCTGCCAGCACCCTATGACAAAAAATGGAACACACCAGCAGTGTGAGGAGACCTGAAAGTGGCACATGGCAGAGTGTGGCGATGGAGACAGCAGCAATGGGAGGCCGTACAGGGACCCATGAGAGACTCTGGACTTGGCAGCAGCATGAGGAGAGGCGGTATAGGGGGGCCCATGGCAGATTAGGGGCCTGGCAGCAGCTATGGGAGGCCCGTAATCTGCCAGCACCCTATGACAAAAAATGGAACACACCAGCAGTGTGTGGAGGAGACCTGAAAGTGGCACATGTTTGGGGCATGATTCATGGCGGATGGCGTCAGTTGTGTTCCAGGAACTGGTGGGTTTGAAATCCAGACTATCCACGCCTGATTCATTTTCACAAACGTGAGTCTCTCCACACTTTGGGTGGACAGTCGTGTCCTCCGCGGAGTTGCAATACCTCCTGCCAAACTAAACACGCGCTCCGATGCCACGCTAGTGGCCGGGCATGACAGCCTTTCAAGGGCAAATTCAGCTAGTTGGGGCCAAAGGTCAAGTTTCGTTGCCCAGTAGTCAATTAGGGGATTGTCTACCTCGGTTGGCAGGGTGCTGTCCAAGTAGGCCTAAGCCTGTTGTTTGAGGTCCTGCTCCAGGTCCACCTGATGCTGCTGCTGCTGCTGAGCCTGCTGGTTAGTAGTTTCCTCACTGCGCTGGTGAAGAAAGGGACTCATCATCGACTGCAGACTGAGCAGCAGCCGCTGCTGGTGGAGCTGCCACTGCTCCTACCACCCGCACCCCTCCCCTGCTGCCATGGCAGCGGAACGCGAGCGCACAGGGCCCACAGTGTCTGAGGATGGACGTTGGCGCAGACAGGGACAGAGACCAGCTGACTACATGGCAGATTAGTGGTTTTTATAGTACGTTATTTTGGGCCCGTAATCTCAGCACCCTATGTGAAAAAATTGGCCACCAGCAGTTTGAACGAGGAGACCTGAAAGTGGGTCCAACAAGGTGGACAGCCAAAAGTCATCCCTCTGTCTGATGGTTATTATTCAGGCTGTCGCTACGCAAGCAGGGACCCCAGCATGCTATGGGCCATTTGTGCAGCATGAGGAATGCGAGGGGCTCCCTGCCTCCATCTCCACAGCATACTGCCACGGTGCGGCCTGGGTCCTCTGTCTCACCCTCTTCAAAAAAATCCTCCTCTACCAGATGCTCCTGCTCCTCCACTCACTGTCGCTGAGTGGAAAAACCACCCATTTCACTCAATAATTCCTGAGCACCAATGTCCTCCTCTACCTCCTCCTCTTCTTCCTGTCCTGCCCTCACAGGGGTCATGTGGCGTGGCCCATGAGATCTGTGCGCCACGTCTACCGCACCCTGACCAGCCATTGTTAACAGCATTTGTTCCAGGACGTGCAACAGAGGAATGACGTCGTTCATCCCATAGTCCTGCCGACTCACGAATAGCGTGGCCTCCTCAAAGGCTCTGGAGCCTGAGCAAGCGCAGGTGTCGGTATATAGGGGCCCATGGCAATGGCTGACATCTAAGTTACACAGGGAGTACCTTTATCTGCCAGCTTTTGACAAACATCAGCAGTGAAATCTGTGATGGCCTTTTGCTGTTGGCGTAAAGGCGGTCTAACATATGTAGGGGGAATTCCACCTTGTTGCAACGTCACAGCAGCATGAGGAGTCGGTATAGGGGCCCATGGCAGATTAGGGGCCTGGCAGCAGCTATGGGAGGCCCGTAATCTGCCAGCACCCTATGTCAAAAAATTCAAACACACCAGCAGTGTGAGGAGACCTGAAAGTGGCACATGGCAGAGTGTGGCGATGGAGACAGCAGCAATGGGAGGCCGTACAGGGACCCATGACAGACTCTGGACCTTGGCAGCAGCATGAGGAGGCGGTATATAGGGGCCCATGGCAGATTAGGGGCCTGGCAGCAGCTATGGGAGGCCCGTAATCTGCCAGCACCCTATGTCAAAAAATTCAACACACCAGCAGTGTGTGAGGAGACCTGAAAGTGGCACATGGCAGAGTGTGGCGATGGAGACAGCAGCAATGGGAGGCCGTACAGGGACCCATGACAGACTCTGGACTTGGCAGCAGCATGAGGAGGCGGTATATAGGGGCCCATGGCAGATTAGGGGCCTGGCAGCAGCTATAGGAGGCCCGTAATCTGCCAGCACCCTATGTCAAAAAATTCAACACACCAGCAGTGTGAGGAGACCTGAAAGTGGCACATGGCAGAGTGTGGCGATGGAGACAGCAGCAAGGGAGGAGGCCGTACAGGGACCCATGACAGACTCTGGACTTGGCAGCAGCATGAGGAGGCGGTATATAGGGGCCTATGGCAGATTAGGGGCCTGGCAGCAGCTATAGGAGGCCCGTAATCTGCCAGCACCCTATGTCAAAAAAAAATTCAACACACCAGCAGTGTGTGAGGAGACCTGAAAGTGGCACATGGCAGAGTGTGGCGATGGAGACAGCAGCAATGGGAGGCCGTACAGGGACCCATGACAGACTCTGGACTTGGCAGCAGCATGAGGAGGCGGTATATAGGGGCCTATGGCAGATTAGGGGCCTGGCAGCAGCTATGGAGGCCCGTAATCTGCCAGCACCCTATGTCAAAAAATTCAACAACACACCAGCAGTGTGAGGAGACCTGAAAGTGGCACATGGCAGAGTGTGGCGATGGAGACAGCAGCAATGGGAGGCCGTACAGGGACCCATGACAGACTCTGGACTTGGCAGCAGCAGCATGAGGCGGTAGGGTATATAGGGGCCCATGGCAGATTAGGGGCCTGGCAGCAGCTATGGGAGGCCCGTAATCTGCCAGCACCCTATGTCAAAAAATTCAACACACACAGCAGTGTGTGAGGAGACCTGAAAGTGGCACATGGCAGAGTGTGGCGATGGAGACAGCAGCAATGGGAGGCCGTACAGGGACCCATGACAGACTCTGGACCTGGCAGCAGCATGAGGAGGCGGTATATAGGGCCTATGGCAGATTAGGGGCCTGGCAGCAGCTATAGGAGGCCCGTAATCTGCCAGCACCCTATGTCAAAAAATTGAACACACACAGCAGCAGTGTGTGAGGAGACCTGAAAGTGGCACATGGCAGAGAGTGTGTGGCGATGGAGACAGCAGCAATGGGAGGCCGTACAGGGACCCATGAGAGACTCTGGACTGGCAGCAGCATGAGGAGGCGGTATATAGGGGCCCATGGCAGATTAGGGGCCTGGCAGCAGCTATGGGAGGCCCGTAATCTGCCAGCACCCTATGTCAAAAAATTCAACACACCAGCAGTGTGTGAGGAGACCTGAAAGTGGCAGGAGAGTGTGGCCTGAGACAGCAGCAATGGGAGGCCGTACAGGGACCCATGTGGCAGCAGCAGCATGAGGCATAGGGGGCCCATGGCAGATTAGGGGCCTGGAGCAGCATGGGAGGCCGTAATCTGCCAGCACCCTATGTCAAAAAATTCAACACACCAGCAGTGATGAGGAGACTGAAAGTGGCACATGGCAGAGTGTGGCTGGAGCAGCAGCAATGAGGAGGCGGGTATGAGGGGCAGCAGCATGAGGAGGCGGTATAGGGGCCTATGGCAGATTAGGGGCCTGGCAGCAGCTATGGGAGGCCCCCGTAATCTGCCAGCACCCTATGTCAAAAAATGGAACACACCAGCAGTGTGTGAGGAGACCTGAAAGTGGCACATGTTTGAGGCATGATTCATGGCGGATTTAGTCAGTTGTGTCAGGAACTGGTGGTTTGAAATCCAGACTAATCCACGCCTGATTCATTTTCACAAACGTGAGTCTCTCCACACTTTGGGTGGACAGTCGTGTCCTCCGCGGAGTTACAATACCTCCTGCCGCACTAAACACGCGCTCGATGCCACGCTACTGGCCGGGCATGACAGCCTTTCAAGGGGCAAATTCAGCTAGTTGGGGCCAAAGGTCAAGTTTCGTTGCCCAGTAGTCAAGGGGATTGTCTACCTCGGTTGGCAGGGTGCTGTCCAAGTAGGCCAAGCCTGTTGTTTGAGGTCCTGCTCCAGGTCCACCTGATGCTGCTGCTGCTGCTGCTGCTGCTGCGGCTGGTTAGTAGTTTCCTCACTGCGCTGGTGAAGAAAGCTACTCATCATCGACTGCAGACTGAGGCAGCCGCTGCTGGTGGAGCTGCCACTGCTCCTACCACCCCACCCCTCCCCTGCTGCCATGGCAGCGGAACGCGAGCGCACAGGGCCCACAGTGTCTGAGGATGGACGTTGGCGCACAAAGGCAGAGACCAACTGACTACATAGGTGGTTTTTATAGTACGTTATTTTGGCCTCCCTCTCTCAGCAGGTGTGAAAAAGGCCACCATTTTTGAACGGTAGCGCGAGGGTCCAACAAGGTGGACAGCCAAAAGTCATCCCTCTGTCTGATGGTTATTATTCGGCTGTCGCTACGCAAGCAACCGAGCATGCTATGGGCCATTTGTGCCAAGGAATGCGAGGGACTCCCTGCCTCCATCTCCACAGCATACTGCCACGGTGCGTCTGGGTCCTCTGTCTCCTCCCTCCTCCTCCTCTACCAGATGCTCCTGCTCCTCCACTCCTGTCCGCTGAGTGGAAAAAAAACCACCCATTTCACTCAATAATTCCTGAGCACAAATGTCCTCCTCTCTACCTCCTCCTCTCTTCTTCCTGTCCTGCCCCCACAGGGGTCATGTGGCGTTGAGATCGTGCGCGCCACGTCTACCGCACCCTGACCAGCCATTGTTAACAGCATTTGTTCCAGGACGTGCAACAGAGGAATGACGTCGTTCATCCCATAGTCCTGCCGACTCACGAATAGCGTGGCCTCCTCAAAGGGCCTGAGCAAGCGGCAGGTGTCACGCATGAGCTGCCAATGGCTGACATCGAAGTTACACAGGGGAGTACCTTTATCCGCTTGTAACATCAGGAAATCGGTGATGGCCTTTCGCTGTTCGTAAAGGCGGTCTAACATGTGTAGGGTTGAATTCCACCTTGTTGCAACGTCGCAGATCAGGCGATGCTGTGGAATTCCGTTCTGCCGCTGCAGCTCAAGGAGGGTGTGCTTTGCGGTGTAGGAATGGCTGAAATGCATGCAAAGTTTACGTGACATTTTAAGGATGTCTTGCAGTGGGATGGTGGATTTTAGGAACCGCTTGACAACCAGATTGAACACGTGAGCCATGCATGGCGCATGGCACAACCTTCCTTGACGCAGAGCAGACACCATGTTTTTCCGTTGTCGGTCAACATGGTTCCGATTTTCAGTTTGCGCGGAGACAGCCATCTGTCGATTTCTCTGTTCATTACACTGAGAAGTTCCTCCCCTGTGTGACTACGTTCGCCAAGGCATACCAGGTGCAGCACAGCGTGACACCGTTGCGCCCTGCACATGTGATATGCCGGTCGGGTAATGGGACTTGGCACGGGGGTGGCGGCTGAGGACACGGCGGAAGAAGAGGTGGTAGAGGCGGACATCTTTGCCGGACCAAGGACGTGCAAACGTGGAGGCAAAAGCGGCGTGACCTGTCCAAGTTGCTGGTGCGGCTGTGACGGCACCACGTTCACCCAGTGGGCCGTAAATGACATGTACTGTCCCTGACCGTAGTTACAGCTCTCACACGTCGGCGCTGCCGTGCACTTTGGCAGAGACCGACATGCTCAAAGACTGGCCCACCATCTCTTCTACATGTGAATGCAGGGCTGGCACTGCCTTTTTGGCGAAGAAATGACGGCTTGGCACTCTCCACCGCGGCGCGGCACAAGCCATCATTTCTCGGAAAGGTGCTGAGTCCACCACTTGGAAAGGGAGGGACTGCAGCACCAGCAACTTGGACAGGAGGACGTTCAGCTTTTGCACCGTCGGGTGCGTGCTCGCAAACTGTTGTCTCTTGGAAACGGATTCCAAGAAAGACTGCTGACGGAATCCGTGAAGAGGAGTAGCAGGAGAAGGAGCATCTGAACGAGCGGAAGATGCCAACGAGCGACAACTCCCCTCAGCAGAGGTGTTGGAGCCTTGACTGGCTGATGGAGGGCGATTGACGTCGGGTGACGGAGCAAGTAACGGAGCGGGTGATGGAGCGGGGGCTGGGGCGGGCAGAACCGCCGTATCTTTATCACGGTTTTCCCAGGCCACCAAATGGCGACGCTGCATATGCTGCCGCAACGCTGTAGTCCCAACATGGGCCCCCTGGCCACGCTTGACTTTCTGGCCACATAGTCGACATACGGCTACGTTTACTTCCTCGGGCGGCTTGACAAAAAATTGCCACACCGCCGAGTAGGAAACTTTGCCCCCGATACTCCTCACTGGCTGACTGCTGCTTCCTCCGTGCACACCGGCACCACTACTGGCCGTGGTGGTAGGCTGCAGTGGAGCTGGTGCTCTACTCCGTGGCCGTTTGGCTCCACTGACACTGCTGCGACCCTGCTGCTGTCTCCTGGGCAACCCACCGACTGTTTTGCTCGCTGCCAAGCTGCCACCCTCTTCTCCTGATGATGCGGAAGAAATTGCCTGATGACGACGAGGCTGCCAAGTGCGATCAACCTCCTCATCATCAAGTAGGGTCTCCGCCTCACTACTAGCCCCCTCGGCTGCGTCTGGGTCAGGAGACAGACCTGTCTCTAGACCGGCTACCGAGCCACTCTCCTCGCCACTACTTCTTCGCCTGGCTGCTGAAAAGGCGGATGTCTCCCCCCGTTCCTGACCGCCCTCTGTTAGCTCTTCCTCACTGTACAGTGGGGCTGAGCCCACAGCATGCGATACTTCGCTTGGTGAGGGAACACCAAAGGACAGGGGCAGGTAGAGGACACGTGATTTCAGTGGGCTTGGTCCCGGGCCATGCCAACTAACGGTTGTGTCTGACGTACCCACCGACCGTTGGCTGTAGGTGTCAGAGGTGACCTGGGAAGAGGAAGACGACCGAGCCAACCAATCGACGACGGCAGGGTTGTCGGTGGAGACACGACCGCTGGATGACACCGGGAGCACTGGCCTCTGGCTGCGAATAGTGCTGCCTCGACCCCTTCCTCTGCTGCCACGTCTGCTCGCTCCTAAAACATTGCCTCCTCTGCCACTCCTCTGCATGTTGTCTGACATACTCTTTAATTCAACGATTCTCTGTGGCCCTAAGTAACGGTTCTGTGGCCCTCAGTAACAATTCTGTGTCCCTCAGTAACAATTCTGTGTCTGTCCCTGAGTAACAATTATGTGGCCCTAAGTAACGGTTCTGTGGCCTCAGTAACAATTCTGTGTCCCTGATTAACGTTTATGTGGCCCTAAGTAACGGTTCTGTGGCCCTCAGTAACAATTCTGTGTCCCTGAGTAACAATTCTGTGTCTGTCCGAGTAACAATTCTGTGGCCCTAAGTAACAGTTCTGTGGCCCTCAGTAACAATTCTGTGTCCCTGAGTAACCTTTCTGTGGCC